GCGCAGGAAAAAGAGGCCTGCCCCGCCAGCCCCTAACCCCCAGGAGGAGGAGGGGCCCACCCAACGCCACCACAGGCCGAAAGAAACGACCCAAAATGCTCACAAATAGGGGACCAGGCATGAGCGAACAGCGCAAGACTTCCCCCATCGCCCCATCAATGGGGGGAACTGCAAAAGGGCCGGTGCATCTTACAATACCCAGAACTGAGAACAGGGCGAACACCGCACCGACCAGCCGAAGGCAGGTCCGAGCCCGAATCTGGTCCCAGTGGCCTACCACGACGAGAGGGAACCCTGAGCCCTGGTACGACCCCTCTGTTAAGGCACCCCCCCTGGGACCCCGGAGAACCAACAAGTCCGACATCGAACGGCAACTGGCCGACGCCGCCTGAATATACTGCGCCATGGCCGCAGGAGCAAAAAAACAGCAGACAAAAAGGCGAAGACATCCTAAGATCCAGGGCCCAGGCAGATTCCATAGAGGAGGCAAGCACTGTCTGTTGAGACGCGAGCCAGGAAGTGTTAACCTGGGCAACTGCAACCCCCAATATCGATGCAAAGAGCTTCAACAAGGCAGCCAACGTGCGAGCAGCTGAGCCCAAGGCACTGGACCCCAGAACAGCCCCAAGCGCCCCCACGTCCTCCCCAAGCCAGTCCGAAGACAGCTCCAGGAGGGAAAAGAAGCACAACGCCGAAGCCAAGAGGCCCCTGGCGCGCAAATCCTCGGCTTCTGCGCAGCCGAAAGGGAGGGAACCTGCACATGGAGCTGCAGAACACCAACATCCCGGGGAAGGGCAGGAGCAAACAAGCTTTCATTGAGGTGCTCAAGGTCGCCCCCCAGGAAAACCTGAACCACAGGAGAAACCTTGTGCTACTCAGCATTCGGGAATGACAAAGAATGTCAGGCCTCAAAGGCAAAGATAGGACAGTCCGCCAGCCAGGACGACTCCGGAACCTCGTAACGGACCCAGAAAGAGAACAAAGTCCCAAACCTGAAAGACGACGGATCCATCACCGAGGCATAAACCCTTTCACAAGACATAAGCTGCAAGGGTCGCCTGCACCGCAGACGGTTGGATGCGGGAAGCCGAGAACCTCTGGAAAGATGGAACCGACATAGCTGAGAGGACACTGAACCGAACCCGGGGAGGGGCAGACACCAAATCCAAGTCGTACGCAGAGGGGGGCAGGGAAGAGAACCCCACTTCTCGTAACAATAAGCCCCTCTCTGAGGGTAGAAAAACCCCAGGCAGGGTCTAGCGGAGCCCAAGGCCCCCAAGTCAGCCCCACCCCAGCCTCAGGATTCCCCTCTTCGGGACCTAGGGCGGAGTCATCCCCCAGAGCACCGACCTCTAAAGAAAAGGCCAGTGCAGCCGAGTAAGCCAAACAGAAGGGGGGGCTCACTGGTCAGACCCAGAGGCTTCACCTGGGGGATCGGACTTGAAGGCCTCCATCGCCACACCAGAAAGGGCATCCCCCGAGACCGCCCGAGACCATCTAAACCTTGCCCCGACTCCGAAACCATCAGATGTTGTAAATATATATTATATTATTATATGCATTATAAATATATATTATATTATTATGTGTGTATATCACGAAAATAAACACGTGATTAAGAATGTGACAATGTCAGACCACGGAGGAAAAATGAAACAGGAAATTTCCTTAAGTACTTTCGTATATTAAATACATCTTCAGAAGGTCATTTTACAGATCGAGTGATGGGTATAAATAGGCAGGAAGGAGTGGTGAAGTAAGGTGAGGTACAATACTTGGACAACGCAGACGGCCCATTGGCCCATCATATGCACCCAATTGGCACATCCGATGTAGCCCAATGGCCCATCTGATACAGCAGACATACTAGCATAATATATAGGTAATTATAACATAAAGAAGTAAATATATACAATAAATTAGTGAGACAAATGTTTTTCAATGATTCTACTTAAATCGCCCTTTAGCTGATCTATTAGAAATGGATCTAAGTTATATAGACCACTGCTAATATTCAAATTACTTTCTTTGGTGATCTGTATCAAAGCAGATTCAATTATGTTTCTGTTATAGGTGCTTTTACAATTTGTTATTGAAGAAGCACTCTCCCAATCAATTTGATGAGCTTTCTGACAAATGCACAAACAAAGCATTAGACAATTGGACATGTCTTACAGAGTATTTATGTTGCGATATTCTACATTTTAAATCTTTAGATGTTTGCCCGACATAGAACTTGTTACATTCCTTACAAGGTATTTTATAAATGACATTTATAAATGACATTTATAAATGACATTTATAAAATACCTTGTAAGGAATGTAACAAGTTCTATGTCGGGCAAACATCTAAAGATTTAAAATGTAGAATATCGCAACATAAATACTCTGTAAGACATGGCCAATTGTCTAATGCTTTGTTTGTGCATTTGTCAGAAAAAGCTCATCAAATTGATTGGGAGAGTGCTTCTTCAATAACAAATTGTAAAAGCACCTATAACAGAAACATAATTGAATCTGCTTTGATACAGATCACCAAAGAAAGTAATTTGAATATTAGCAGTGGTCTATATAACTTAGATCCATTTCTAATAGATCAGCTAAAGGGCGATTTAAGTAGAATCATTGAAAAACATTTGTCTCACTAATTTATTGTATATATTTACTTCTTTATGTTATAATTACCTATATATTATGCTTGTATGTCTGCTGTATCAGATGGGCCATTGGGCTACATCGGATGTGCCAATTGGGTGCATCTGATGGGCCAATGGGCCGTCTGCGTTGTCCAAGTATTGTACCTCACCTTACTTCACCACTCCTTCCTGCCTATTTATACCCATCACTCGATCTGTAAAATGACCTTCTGAAGATGTATTTAATATACGAAAGTACTTAAGGAAATTTCCTGTTTCATTTTTCCTCCGTGGTCTGACATTGTCATTATATTATTATATGTATTGTAAATATATATTATATTATTAATTTTATGTACTGTACTGTATATATAAAGTACATATGAGAATGTATTTTGTATATTTTTTCTTGACTTCATTTCAAAACATATTGACCTTCAACTTTCACATTTTAGTGTACGAATCCCCAGCAATATTTATTAAAACATACAAGTAAATTAATAAATTAGGACTACCATATTCATTGTTGATAACTTCAACTTCAGTTATCTCTAAAACAAGAAATTCAACGTTGAGCCAGCTTCAAAAATCCAGTTTCTGACCAATTCTCATCATTTTCACATACAGTGGCCCCTCGACATACGATTGCCCCTACTTACGATAATTTCGAGTTACGATATAAATTTCATCGAAAAATGTGACTCGACATCCGATATTTGTTGGTACACGTTCGGGTCGGCCGAGCGCGTGGTTCCCGGTCACGCGGTCTGATCTGATCTGATCGCGGCCTCAGTTTACTACAGCTACCCTCTTAGTGACGATCGCACCTATAAGAAATTCCGCTTTTGTGGTGTTTTTTTGCATTTTGAACATTAAAGTAATTATTATATAATACGCCATGAGTCCCAGGAAAGTCAGTGGTAAGGCTCAACATATGAGATCCCATGTAAGAATGACCATAGAGCAGAAACAAGAGATCATTCGTACATATGAAGATGGTGTGCAGGTAGGTGAACTGGCTAGGCAGTACAACAAATCTCAGTCAACGATATCCACCATAATAGCTAGGAAAAAGGACATTATGGGTGCTAAAGTGATGCATCATTACAGACAAATGTTAAAACGAATGGAAAAACAAATGTCTCTTGACAAATTTGTAGTGAGACAAACAAGCACTGAACCACAACCAGGTCCTAGTGGTATTCAGGTAAAACATAGGAGAGAGAGTACCCCAGAGAAAACATCACTGCCTGATGTGATAATGGAAGAGGGACTCCCCTTCCAAACAGTAACAACTCTCCTCCTCCCCCATCTCCATCTTCCATACGCCATCAAGAGCCCTCCATAAAGGTAAGAGTAACTTTGGTACTGTATTGTAGTTAGAAAAAAACATTGTATTCAGTATAAATTGTATTTTTATGTTAATATTTAGGAGGGTGGGGAACGAATTAATTCAAATCCCTTTATTTCTTATGGGAAAATTCGCTTCGACTTCCGATCCGTCTCTGGGAACGGATTAGCATCGGAAGTCGAGGCCCCACTGTATAGTGTACACAGCTGTCTGTCTGTTCTACAATTCTATAAGCGGGAGATTTTTCATATACCCTAAATGTTTGGAGTTATAAATTTTGTTGTATAAATTTGGCACATATTTCAAATGTCATATTGACCATCTTTTTTTTTGCAGTAAATTATACTGAAAACCTATATTCTATATCTATGAAAATGAAGATCATATACTATTCTGAGAGCATAATAACACCAAATGACAATTGGTGATACGTATTTTATATTTTTGAAGCTGATTTGAAAATCTGAAATTTTCAATATTCCATTATATAATTAATTTTTATTTTCTTGTTTCTCAAGATACCTTGGTGATCATTTAGACAAAGTTGGAGCATTTGTCTAGTAGATTATGTACAAAAAAGTTGAAAGCATTTGAGCAAGTTTGAGAAATTGAGTTCCTGGGAATAATTTTAAAACTAACTCTGCGGTGATGATCAAACCACATATCAGAAAATGGAGAAATGATGTTTCTGTCTATTCTGGACCATTATCAAGTCATGTAATAGAAAAGAGGAAGGTACAGGCAAAAATAATGTACGATCCTAAATTCTTATCTTATTCTTATATTCATCCTATTCTTATCTTATTCTTATCTTCTCTTACCTGCTCCTCACCTCTCTTCTTACTCTCTTACCTTATATATGCCTGTGCTTTCCTTTCTTGTTTTACAAGACTTGATAATAGTCCAGAATGGAGCAAAACATCACCATTTCAAAATTTTCTGATGTGTGGTTTGGTCATCGTATCTTCAGTCACATTATTGTCAATTGTCATCTAAGCCTGCTGTAATGTTACCTTCAACAAGTTGTGGTATGTGCTTCTCCAGTTGTGTGAGGCCAAACAATGCACATAGTCGGTACAGAACAGGTTGCAGGGCTACCTCTGCTTCACGAATGGATTTTTCAAACCATGCAAGTATCACTTCCTGCAATAATACCAAGGACATTAATGCAAACCAAACAAAAATTAAATGTCATTTACTTTTTAACATGAGTGTGTGTGATCTATGAGAATTAAATATCCAGTGTGTAATTACCTAAGTGTAATTACCTAAGTGTAGTTACAGGATGAGAGCTACGCTCGTGGTGTCCCATCTTCCCAGCACTCTTTGTCAAATAACGCTTTGAAACTACTGACGGTCTTGGCCTCCGCCACCTTCTCTCCTAACTTGTTCCAACCGTCTACCACTCTGTTTGCGAAAGTGAATTTTCTTATATTTCTTCGGCATCTGTGTTTAGCTAGTTTATATCTATGACCTCTTGTTCTTTAAGTTCCAGGTCTCAGGAAATCTTCCCTATCGATTTTATCAATTCCTGTTACTATTTTGTATGTAGTGATCATATCACCTCTTTTTCTTCTGTCTTCTAGTTTTGGCATATTTAATGCCTCTAACCTCTCCTCGTAGCTCTTGCCCTTCAGTTCTGGGAGCCACTTAGTAGCATGTCTTTGCACCTTTTCCAGTTTGTTGATGTGCTTCTTAAGATATGGGCACCACACAACTGCTGCATATTCTAGCTTTGGCCTAACAAAAGTCGTGAACAATTTCTTTAGTATATCGCCATCCATGTATTTAAAAGCAATTCTGAAGTTAGAAAGGGTGGCATAGGCTCCTCGCACAATATTCTTTATGTGGTCCTCAGGTGATGGTTTTCTATCTAGAACCACCCCTAGATCTCTTTCTTTATCAGAATTCTTTAAAGATTTCTCACATAATATATAGGTTGTGTGGGGTCTATGTTCTCCTATTCCACATTCCATAACATGACATTTATTAACATTAAATTCCATTTGCCAAGTGGCGCTTCATGTACTTATTTTGTCCAGGTCTTCTTGAAGGGCATGACAATCATCTAAGTTTCTTATCCTTCCTATTATCTTAGCATCATCAGCAAACATGTTCATATAATTCTGTATATCAACTGGTAGATCATTTATGTAGACAATAAACATCACTGGTGCAAGAACTGAACCCTGTGGTACTCCACTTGTGACATTTCTCCAGTCCGATACATTGCCTCTGAACACAGCCCTCATTTTTCTATCAGTCAGAAAATTTTTAATCCATGTTAGAAGCGTATCTGCACTTGTTCCAGGGGTTTTCTTTATAAGGTCTTCGTGCAATACCTTGGCTTTCTCACAAATGATGGCCTCTGAAACACTATCACCCTTTAACTCCTTGTCGTGTATCCAAATCAATAACAACTTTTCCACATCCTCTAGTATTTGTGGTCTTTGTTTAATGATTGTTATTATGCCTTTTGCCACTTTAGCACTCATAATGTCCTTTTCCTTGGCAAGTATAGTGCATATCGTTGACCTGGATTTGTTGTAACTCACTCACCCTTACAATATACCCTCACAATAACTCACCCTTAACATTGACAAAACCTTCTATATTCTATTTGGCAATAAATCCTCTAATCAAATAAATCTCAAAATAAACAATACCCAGATTTGTAATAAATTAGATGGCAAATTCCTTGGCATTCTCATTGACCACAAGCTGAATTTCCAGGGACACATTCTAAACATATCAAAAAAAGTTTCTAAAACTGTGGGCATTCTTTCTAAGATCAGATATTATGTACCACGCCCTGCCCTGGTGACTCTCTATTACTCTCTTATCTATCCATATCTCAACTATGGTATTTGTGCTTGGGGCTCTACTACCCAAAATCACTTACGTCCTCTAATTACTCAACACAAAGCTGCTATTAGGACAATATCCAATTCTGGCCCCAGACATCACTCGGTACCCCTACTCAAATCCCTGAATATGTTAGACATTAAGTCACTGCACATTCTCTCATGTGTACTATACATATACAAAACGCTAAACTGTAATGCCAATCCTGATCTCAAAAGCTTCATTGAAGGTTGTAACAGAACCCATGAGCACCACACCAGAAATAAATACAGTTTTGATATTCCTAGAGTACGACTTAATCAAACCAGAAATGCTCTACAAATCAAGGGGCCCAGAATGTGGAATGACCTTCCCAACCATGTTAAAGACAGTACCTCTCTCAACCAGTTTAAGTTAAAAACGAAGCTATACCTAATAAATTCCCTGTAACCTACCTTACCCCTCTATTGTCAACCCATGTATGTTTTTTGTTTTTTTTTTTGTTTTTCAAATCAGCGCTGTTTTAATGTAATTTTCTGTAATAATTTGTAATTGTATTTGTGCTGTTTTTTTCAACAATGTTCCCCCCTCTTTTACCTCTATTTTTATTTGTACTCAACGCATTTTTTTCTTTTTACCCATTAGTTTTAAGCTTTAGTCAGTAGTGTTTTTTCCTGCCCGAAACGCTTTGCGTAATAGTGGCTTTAGGCATTGTATGTACTAGCTCTTATCTATAAAGCCAACAAACTTTGTAAAATCTCTTTATGTATGTACCTTTGCCTAAATAAAAATTATTATTATTATTATTATTATGTTGTACTGCCTACAAAATTCAACAACACGTGCACCATTTTCATGCTTCCGAATGATCTCTTGTTTTTTCTCTGTTGTCATCCTCACACACAATTTCTTCCCTTGAACCTTACCACTGGCTTTCTTGGGACCCTTGGTGAGATATATAGTAACAACTTTTATGGTCAAATGGCCAAAAATCCAACAAAACACTGTAAATCCTGGTGAAGAATTCATGCAGGATAGTCACTGGGCACGAGGCACTGGTAAACTGAGGGACAATCGCTGTGCCACCATGCGCTAGGTCGGCCTGTACACGTATCAACACCCTCGTATTCTGAGGCAACGCTCGTATTCCGATGTAAATTTTCCTTGCAAATCCTGCTCGTAATCCGAAAAACTCGTAAACAGGGACACTCTTAATCCGAGGTACCACTGTATATATGTGTATGTGTGTATATATATATATGTACATGTATGTGTGTATTTATATATATACAATTTCTTTTGGAAGTGGTCCCGTTCCCTTCTCTGTTGATGGGACGCTGGGGTTGGCAGCTTGCTCTGTTGGCTCTCGCTTGTGGTTGTCTTCCGGTCTCTGGTGGCGTCGGGCGGCTTCTCCCCCTTTGGGGGGTTCGGGGCTGGTGGGGTGGGCTTCTTCCCCTGTGCTTCGTCATGTCATCTTCATGTGGGTGCGTTTGGATGTGATTATTCTGCCCCATATTTTTGAGGTTTCCGCCTGTTCTAGTGCAGACACAGGCCTTGCATTTCTTCTGGACTTATGCAGTCTGCGCCCTGGATTCTTTGCTCTCTTCGGAAGACTGTTGTCTCCGGTCTGGCTTCTCTTGTTGCCGGGTACCTGGATGGTGCCCCTGGACCTCCGGGTCACTTCTTGCCAAGTTCCTCTCCAGGGTTCTGGGAATGGCACAATTGGTGGTGGGGCTTCAGGCTTGCCGTTTTTGTTGTCTTACCTAGTTTGTAATTGGCACTTAGTGTATTTACGCATCTTTACCAGATCTTGGTGACCTGTCTGCGTCTGCTTGGAATTCAGTTTCTGGCCTACCTCGACAACTAGCTGGTGTGGGCTCCCAGTCGGTTAGCTTGTCTGCTTGCCAGGGGTGTGGTTCTTTCCAGATCGCTGGGTTCGGATTCCTGGTGATCTGGAGACCATTCCATCTGGTTCCATCCCGGGTTTGGACCTGGCTGGATCTTGTTTAGGACTTTTGGACGGCTTCTTTGTCTTTTCCTCCAGAAGCATTGCTGTGACTGTGGTCCTGCCTTCGGCTGTTGATGAGGGGGTCCCGGGTCACTCAGTGGTTGCTCGAGCGGTTGTGCGGGAGACTGAACTTCGCCGTGCAGTTCTGCCCATCGGGTCAGGTTTGGCTTTGGCGTCTGTTCGGTTCCTTCGGGGACTACCCTTCCGCCTCTCTTGCAATCGTTGGGTTCATCCTCTAGGGATCTTGTGTTGGTGCTGCATCACCGGCTTCCTCTTTGGGGTTTTCGGGGTTCCGTGTCTTGGCGCCTCCCCGAGCCTTCGCTCGATGTGTTCATGGACGGGTCATCTCTCAGCTGGGTCTTTGTAGCCAATGCTCACCAGATCGGCCTGAGATGGTGGGGTCCGTCCGTACGTCAGGCTAACAGCACGGTTCGGGAGTTCGTGGTTGTCTGTTTGCACTTCGGAGAGTTCGGGTCACTCAGGGCACTCCCATCCGGCTCCATTCGGACTGATTTTCGGTGGATCATTGCCGGAACAACGGGGATTCTCTTAGGTCCTTGACCTGTGGTGTTGGTCCCTTCGAGTGGCTCGTCTGCTGGATTCTCGGGGATTGGCTAGCTGTGCGTTTCATGTCCGAGGTGTCCTACGTCCTGGCGAACGGCCTGTCTCGGTTCATTCCTCTGTTCACGGATTGGCCGGTTGTCGCCGACTCGTTTCGTTGGCTCTGCCGGACGTACGGACTCCTGGACATGGACATCTTCAGGTCGGTGTGGTCTCGGCGTCTCCCATTCTATGTGGCGCCATTACCCGCCTGTGAGGTGTTCACGGTGGATGCCTTTTGGAAGGACTGGTCGAGGTGCATTGACCCGTTCCTCTTCTCCCAGTCCAGCTGTTGCTTCGTATGTGACTGGTTCGCCTCGCGAAGAGCCTCTCCTCGGCTCTTCGCGTCTGCTCTTTTGACGCGGGTGCATCACCATCTCTATGGTGATCAGGTGGCTTCGTTGATGGTATCCCACCTGCGAGCTTCATCTCGGCGACAGTATGACATTCCTGGACGTGGCATGAAACTTTTTAAGTCAACATGTCAAGGGACTGACAAGAATGAGAGGAGAGGATGAGCCAGCTTTGCTTGATCTGATATTTACCCTAAATGAGTCGGATATAAGGGAAGTTAAGTTGGAAGCCCCCTTGGGAATGAGTAATCATAGTGTATTGAGCTTTGAGTACCTGGTTGAGCCAGGAATTATCTCCCCCAAAAAAGAATTGGAAAACAAAGGGCTGGTGTACCAAA